CTGACCCACCCACAGTGCTGTCTGCCAGGGCAGCATCCCAAGACAACAGAGAGCTGGAATTACCAGCTGTGTGCCCTTGAATTAAGTTACCCAACACCTCTGAGCCCCAGCTCCCCATCTGTAACATGGAGATAATAAAGCAGCAGTCTATTATAACTACGTATCACTTAGGGAGGGTTCTCTTTTTACTTGTGTTTCTTAAGGCAAATACATTATTTCATTACCAGATTCACAGAAACCAAAATTCGGCTTTAATCATTACTCATATCATGTGGGCTGACCGGAGACAAGGCTCTTCTTGCATACTGCTGGGGGAATATAAATTGGGGCATTTATGCACTCAACAATTATTTACTGAGTACTTAACCATGTAAGAGGTCTGGCACTAGCAGCTGGGATTTGACAACACACATCCTCACCCAGTAATCCCACCTGTAGGAGATTATCTTAAGGAAATACTCAGAAATCAGTGCAAATACATAGCACTCAAAGGTATATATCTAACATAGAAGACTGGACAAATTGTGATACAATCATAGATATTTTACAAAGATTAAAAATTAGATTATCAAAGGATATTTAATGATGTTGGGGAATGCCCTAGATACAAAAGTAAGTAGGAAAAAACCCCAATATATGCATTTTATGATCTCAAGATTTTAAAATGTTCATAGGAAAAACATCAGAAGGAAGCCCACCAAAATATTAGCTGAGGGTCTTTAGCAAACAGAATCATGATGCTATTTTCTGCACTTTTCAAAATGTCTCTAAAAATATTTTACTACTATGTTTAGGAAAAAACATAACAATATTATACAACTGAGTTGCAAAGGTCATCAAATGACAGCCTGTCCTCTTCCTTACTAAGGAAATGAAACTGAAAGTGAGAAATCATGTATTTGATGGACTGAAGCCAGAGACTAACTCTCAATCTAGGCTTTCCTGTGCTCGAGGAATTCTTGCCTGAAGCCTCTGAGAATAAATACTATAGAGAGCCTTATAATCTCATCTACCCAAATCAGTGCCCTGAAGAGCCTAGACTTAACTGGATCCCTGGATCCTCTGGAGACTAGACTATGATAGTCTGTAAAGCCAGTTGGCTTTTGAAGTGGCTCACGGTGAATGTGGAGAAACTCCCTAGTCCAGAGCTGATCTGAATCAAATCTACTTTGCTTCCAGTCTCATACTGGGTAAAGCAAATGAAATATGCAGTACTTCTGTTGCCATATATATAACTACTCAGGGCTGCAAGGGAAAATAAAGCAAGATTTATATTCTTGTATGCTGCCAAATGTTTAGATAGTCCACAGGTTGTTTAACGGCTTGACATTTGGCCAGACTGACTGAAAATAATGAGTTTCAGTGAGGACACTTCCAGACCTGGCACCTGTTCTACAAATCAACTCACAGAACCTAGTAAAACACTCAGTGCTTCCTAAGCAGCATCACCTCCCCACTCAGAATTATTTTCTTTAAATATTCATGATTTGCATTAAAAAAAAAAAATTCAAGTCACTTGTGATCATTCTTACTTCCCTTACATACTGGAATTTTTCATCACATCGCAGAGGAATTTTGCTCATGGTTTATAAGGTCATGTGAACTGTGGCCTCACTAAGAGCCACCCAAGAAATTGATTGTGGCCTAGAAATCGACTGTTTGTGGAGCCTTCTATTAATTCTGTTCTATTTATGTAGTGTCCACATTCATCTTGGGTTTTCTTATGATTTTTCTGCAAACCAAAGTTTCTCTGAAGATGTTGAGAATTCTGGTCTCTGTGTGTAATCCATAGGAAGAAAAGCCAAGGACAAAGGGAGTGAAACATCCGGGACCCTGGAGAGACTCAAGTGCAGCCCCAGAGTCATTTCACGGCACTGGCAGAGGCAGTTAATAAATTCTGCCAGCACATGACGCATTCAGAGTGGCACGACCACTCAGTGACTGTCAACCTTTGGTAGAGTATGTTTTAATGTAAAAACTTAATAGATATAATTTAGTAGCAATTTTCTTTGGGAGTAAATTGGTCTCTTAATCATGCTCTAAGAACATAAAAAGAAAAATGTCTAATAATTCAGCACAAAATGAAAACCTGTGGTTACCTAAGAGGCACCAATGGGCCTTTAGCAATTTCTTCTTTTTCTAGCTGAATACGCAAGACGAATGGTGGCTGTGGGGAGGCTTTCTCCCTGTTGCTACTTAAGATTCACCGCTCAGAAAAAGAAATGAGTGGCATTTCACCAATGTGGAAATGTTTCTAACCAAATACAAAAAATCTGTTAAGCAATTTTCCAGTACATTAGGCTGAAATTGCTTACGATGGATATATATTTCTGTGGCGATCAAACATCCTATAAACTGCAGTCTTATAATGCCCCTCCGTGGAAAGCACTAGGACTATCTGCCTTGCTCTTTCAGTCAGTACTTTTGTACTCACTTCTCTTTGTGACCCTGGACAGTCAAAGCCACTTCTCAATTACTTGGAAGAGGATTTCCTATATGAGAGTCACTCGTGCTTTCATTAGAAGAGTCACTCTTTCTGGCAGCTTGTAGAGAGCTCAAAATGAAAAAGCCAGCCAGCTAGCTTGTGTTATAGTCAGCTTTAACAAAGCATAAGTGGTCTGAGAATCTTGGCTCAGTGTAAAAGTAACAAGTCATCATTTACAGAGTTTCCCTAAATCCTTGCCTACTTCTCTGTTCCATCTTTTTTCAGTTTATAAAGATCAAAGAAGACCATGACATCTATGGAGCATCAAAAAAAAAAAAAAGAGACATTCCTACTGAGAAGCTTACTTTAAGTTACACACTGTTAATCAGCTATCCATCAGATCTCATATACACAAGTCCCCACCACACCTGACTTGCACACAGTTTCATCTTTAGAATAACTCTTTCAGTAATTCTGTTCTGAAGACACTCACTGAATAAATATCAACTTAGAAAAAGTGCAGGTGATAGGTATTGGTAGGAGCCATCAAGTAACAGTGAGGAAAACATTAAAACTGTAACAGAGAATAATAAGATCTAGAATATTCTAAATAGAAAAAAAATTATGTACGATGGTAGTTCCAAATACAAATGCAACATAAGATACTATTACAGAAACTGATAGTGTTCCAGTATGGGAACATTTTAAGACCCACAGGGCAATGGAAAAAAGAAACACTCTGGAGCCAGGCAGGCCCATGTGAATTCCAGCTCTACTGCACACTAGCTATACAACCCTGGGCAAGTCACAGAGCCTGTAAAATGGAACAGTAACTTCACAACATTGTCTAAAGGATTAGAACTACTGTAGAAACCTGGCTTGTCATTGAAAGAATGGTAACTTATAGTATCAATGATCACACCACACTCCACTTGCACACCCATACTTCAGGACTGCCATTAAGTCCCAGAGAATGCATTCTGCAGGAATAGATGGTCTCAGCATCAAGTGTTTATTTTGTGATTCAAGTTCTCCGTTTTCCAATGTGACACCCAATTATCTGCATGTATCATGTTTCGCCTAAACATACACCTTCTTCAGGTGAACCTGAACCTGTATAAGCTTCCCATTCTGAAACTCCTGATAATGGCATCCTTGCTCTGCACCCTGATTTTGGTATTTTCCACATTACCAACACAAACTAGAAAGTGGTACAATATTAAACTACTCATTCATACACAACACTGCCCTCTAGTGATGAGAACAATCCTTTCTAGTAGTCTGTTTTAAGAATCCCCTTGATGTAAACATGGAGAAGGAAATGGCAATCCACTCCAGTATTCTTGCCTGGAAAATCCCATGGACGGAGGAGCCTGGTAGGCTACAGTCCATGGGGTGGCAAAGAGTCGGATAAGACTGAGCGACTTCACTCACTTGATGTAAACAAACAAAAAAAAAATCTAGTTACTGATCCAGCAGCAGGAAGAGAACATTTTTTTTTTCCAGGAAATGTGGGTAGATGCAACCAATTAATTTGATCTTATCTTCCTGATCAAAGCAACCAGCTGTGGTCTGAGCTACCATCTAAAGCCACAGAGCACAGATGGGACTACCTGTATGCTCTACTATAGATTCTTGTCTTAATAGTGCTGGCTGTGTAAAGGATGACCAGTAATAACAAATAAGGCACGTTTCCTCTCTAACACCCCTCAACTCTTAATTAAGAACTTGGCCACCATAGTGTTCCTTCAATTTTTTATCTTACAGTTTTTAATAAAAGCATGTGTGATTTATATAACGGGTAGGGACCCCCAAAATATTTTCAAGGGAGAGAGAAAATCACCTGGATTGCTAAAATAGAAACTGCACTCAAGATCTATTCCAGGTTTAGAAAACCAATGGAGATTGGCTAACATCCTGAAAGACTGATCTGTTCTTTAATTTTTGGCCAGATAGCTCCAAACTCAGGAAACCTGTAACCTTGCTCACAGACGAGAATGACAACAGCAGAAGTTTAGAGTTCTGGGCCTTGTTCTAGCTACTGTTTAGAGGCTGGGCCTTGTGCTTATCTATTTGTATCTGTCATCTCCAGCACTCCTGTATGGAGTCGTTATCCCTGCTTTATAGATGAAACCAAGAGAGCTTACAGAACTGAGTCCAAAGATGCACATAAGCCCTCCCCCAGTGACAGGAAAACCATCTGAAAGGCAAGAGACACTGAAGGGTCAATAAATCACCATCTTGGTGTAAACAGTAACAAATTATAATAAACTCTGATTCAGAAACTGCTGAAGAACAGGATCTAACAATGTTTAGTGTTAAAAGATAGGTGTTCAAAGATCACCTATCTTCCATCGTTGCCTTTAATAATTAAATGCTTGCTACTTATAAACTCAGTGACTTTAGTAAATTCTTATTCTACACAGATATAGGTAGGTTTGTGTTATCTGAATGCAAATCTAATTAGGTTTGAAATCCTAAAAGTAGAACATTAAAAAAAAAAAAAAAAAAAAAGTAGAACATTAAGCTAAATGATAACTTTCCTAACACTTTTTTCAGTTTTTTTTTCTTTTTTAATGACACCTCATGGGAGCCTGGTTAACAAATGTGCAACCTGAGAATCACCTCTGATCCCCTCTGTTCACTTGTGTGTGTGTGTATGTACACGTGTGCTGTGCCACATGGCTTGTGGGATCCTACTTTCCTGACTAGGGATTGGATCCATGCCCCTGGCAGTGAAACCACTGGACCACCAGGAAATTGTCTATTTTTTTTTCAGTGTTGAAAACCTAGATAGATGATGAATATACTTAATCTGGAGTGAAACATAAGTGGACACTGGAACATTTCTCTACCTGCTCCCCTCCCCCAGTACAGGTCTATGAGCCTGTCCTTGCTGAAGAATAGCAATCCCTATTTTCCCCAGAGGCTTTCAATAACAACACTGATGTCTGAATTTGTATCTTTAAAGACGTATTTCAGGATTTGGGTGTTTCTGGAACCGTAACTTTAACCCAGCCTTCCATAACAGTCTTTTTACTTTCTAGTACGGAACATGATACTGCAATAATGGCAATGAACCGCTTCAGCTTTTTCACTTCTGCAGAAGCTAAAACAACTTCCCCAACATATAAAGGGGCTGGAAAGTTAATTTCCTGGGAAAGAAACACGCAGCCTGGCCCTGGCATTTTAGTACCGAGGAGAGCTGAAATAAGTCCATTGATCAAAACTCCATGGACAATTGTCTTTCCAAATCTGGTGCGTTTTGCAAAATCTTCATCTAAGTGCAAAGGATTGACATCCCCTGTTATTTCTGAGAAGGTGGCCACATCCCTCGGAGTGAAGGCCCTCCTGAGTTCAGCCCGGTCTCCAACTCTGAGGTGCATGTGCTCTAAGGGCTGCCTGTTCAGCACTGCTTGGCTCAGGCAGATTCTCCTGTGAAGCCTACCCCACCAAAGGCGATGGTTGGACATTACTGGGAACATCTTCAGCACGCTCAAATTCCATCGACAGGAGTTTTAGGGCTGCTTCAGTCTCCAAGCATTATGCTGGCACCAAAAAGTACTTTTGAGAGTGAGGAATATTTTCTCAAATTGAAGATTACTCAATTCAATACTAGTTCCCTACTATTGCCAGATAATGCAAGGAGAAATGGAGAAACCTGTAAGAGAGGGAAAAAAATTTTAAGGCAGTATCAGGAGAAAATTGCCTGGAAATACAGGACAGTGTAGAAACATGTCCCGTTTTACAGGATAAGCCAAATCGATGCAGTAGCATTTTAAAGAGCATCTTGAGAGCTAGCCTGAGATAAATAAATGGGCATGACAAGCTCAGAAAGAACATTTCAATACATCAGGCACGAGGCATTAAGCAATAAAAGACTTTTCCACAGGTGTTCCAAGTTTTATCCCCAACCTCTCCATACAACCTAAAATCTAAGTGTTTTGTCTGACGTTTTCATAACTACTGACGCCGTGGGTTTCCCCCTCCCAGCTGGATGGCATTAACCACACTAGATTTATGCAAGCAAAAATGGGACACATATTAATAAAGCAATTTGGTCTACTACTCAGCTTCAACTGGAGTATGCGAAGGTGTCTTTACCTGAATCACTCTGAAAGCACAGTTCTTGCCTTTATAGGATCCTAACAGGGTCAGAGAGCTCCACAATTTGACAAGACCACTACGGAAAGATCAAGAAAGCGTCAGTAAAGATTCGTCCCTGCAGCATCTCACTTGTACTTTTTTCTGTGATGGGCCAGAAAGTAGTTTCTACCAGAAACCTGATTTAAATAAGAAAACTAAACAAATGAAAGCATACCATGTCAAGGCAGAGGACAGAATGAACCTCAATCAGGCATGTTTGTAAAACTCCCACTTCTGAGTCTGCAACTATGACTACCAACTGGGAAACACTACAGCAGTAAGTAAATCCCCAGGCTGGCTCTCTGGACTATAAAGTTCCTGGAGGGTGAGTGTTCACATTCTCCCCCATTTAAACTTCCAAAAGCTGGACAAAAAATGACAAAACTCTCCTCCTTCTCAGAAGGGAGCACTTCTGCTGCTTTTTACCATCTGTCTCTCTGCTCTGCTACACTAGAAGGGTCCCACCGTCAGTCATACCTGCTGCATATCCTCAGGATGGCTGACAGGGTCTTCTCTTCATAGGTTAAAACGTCCAAAGGTAAGGCAGCATCAACCTAAGGAGAGAATGATACCGTTAGCAGATGACTATCATCCTTACTCTTGAACTCTAATTACTTTTCTCCTCCAAAAAAATGTGTGTTTTATTTATTGGTGCTGGAGTACAAGGCCCGTTTTTCTACAGCTCCCTCTGCCTGGATCATTATTCCTATACCTTTCCATGTTGCTAAGACCTTCTTACTTTTCTCAAGTGTTTTTTAAATTGTTCCTTCCCTGATGCCCAAGATTAAGTTCAGTAGCTTGCTACACTCTTTCACATACAGGACCCGCCACGCCTTTCATAATACTCACCGTTCTTGCCACTAATTGTTCAACATGGTTTCCTACTAACATAACCAACACCAACAGTCAGTGAGGCAGAAGCCATGTATGTTCACAGCTACATCCCCAGGAATCAGGTTTCATACTTGACATATAGAAGGTGCATGGATTTTTTTTCCCTCACACTTTTTGAAAAAACTAGAGTCATATTACATTGCAAAGAAATATACGGGAAGGTTCCATGCACCCTTCACTCAGCCTCCCGCAATGTCAGCACCTTGCATAACTACAGTATAACATCAAAATCAGAAAACCAAAATTAATGAATCAGAGCTTATTCTGACTTTTCCAGTTATACATGCACTCACATTTGTTTACATGTGCATATGTGTAGTTCTATGCAACACTGTCATATAGATTGCTTAATGTAACTATTACCATAATCAAGATAAAGAGCTATACCATCACAAGGCTCTCTTTCAACTTGCCTCCTCAGTCCTCAACCCATGCAAACACTAATCTGTCTCTAGACTATATAGTTATGTACAATAATTACATTATTTCGGGAGCATGATATAAATGGAATCACTCAACATATCACTTTTGGGGATTGGTTTTTGTATTCTGGCTGCACCAAGCCACGTGGCATGTGGGATGGTTCCCCAGAGAGCGAATCCTGGCCTCTGCAGTGAAAGTGTCGACCCTAACCACTAGGCCTCCAGGAAATGCCCACTTCTGCCAATTTTCTAACAGACTGTTTGTGTTTCTTTTACTACTGAGTTTTAAGAGATCTTTATATATTCCAGATATCAGTCCTTATGTGATTTTCAAATACATTCCCCCAAGTCTGTAATTTGTTTTTTCAGCCTCTGAACCAAGTCTGTTGCAGAGTAAGTTTTTAATTTTGATGAGTGCTTGACAGATTTTAATTTAATAAAACATATGTACCAGGAAATAATTTCCTGAGAATCATCTGTCTTTGCTTTCTCTTCAAAACTCTACTTGTTTTCAAGTGAATACTAAAATAGTACTACTCAGAAGTGCTGGTCTGTGATAAGGAGCCGCACCAGAGTGGAAATTGACAGTATCAGTGGACATAGTGTTTAGCTCAGGTCAGATTTTCTCACTGAAGACTTACTCAGTAAAGGAAATGGTATGTTGACTGACATTCTGGTACAAGTCACTAATCCTCACAGTGGGCAAGGAAAAAAAAAAAACAGTTTGCAGGTTGCCAGTCTGCACCATAGTTTGAGTAGCACTACAGTAAACCGTTTGCCTCACGAGTTTCTTGTCAACTAAATGACATATTAGAAAAAACCTACTCAAAACTCATCACTTCTGAAACTCTGCTTGTGCAGTTTCAAATGTGGTTTTAAAATAATTCCTGGAAAAATGTCCTTTTAGTATGTCCTACAAAATCTTCATGCTAAATTGCTTCAGTCATGTCCGATTCTGTGCAACCCTATGGACTGTAGCCCGCCAGGCTCCTCTGTCCATGGGATTCTCCAGGCAAGAAGACTGGAGTGGGCTGCCATGCCCTGCTACAGGGGATCTTCCCGACCTAGGGATCAGACCCGTGTCTCTTATGTCTCCTGCATTGGCAGGCGGGTTCTTTACCACTAGCATCACCTGGGAAGCCCCTACAAAATCTTAGTGGTGTTCAAACTACCAAGTGATTCCATACCTCACCAAACAGGTCCTTCAGGGCTGAAACAAGCAGCTGTTTGAATTGTGCAGCATTCAGAGCAACCCCACAATCTTGAAATTCTCTGTAAGAAAAAAAATTTTAATGCACTGTGTTAAATTTCATACTACTCAGATTCATAAAAAAGTAATCAAAATAAAACTTAAGTAAATCAACTAAACTTCAATTAAAAAAACTAAGAAACTTAGGAGACGGAACTTACAGGCGGACTTTCATGTAGTGGTACTCAGAGGGATTTTTGTAAACAATTCTTTCATATGTGGTGGCTGGGGCTGGCATCTTTTTCCAGTGCTGATCACATCTACTTTGAGTCAAGACAGCTAAAAATTACAAAGATATAAGCTACTTTTCAATTTTTTTTTTAAAAGAGAATTTGAGCTGATTTTTTAAAAGAACTCCTAGTACAATAACTCATCTAATTCTGGTCAAGCTGATGTTACCCATACAGACACAAAGGAAGTTTCTACATTTTACATATGCCAGACCACTGTATTCTCATTTAACTCCTAGCAAACACTTTCCCTTACTAAGTAGCCAGCTCTGTGCTAAATACTTCACATACTTTAGGTCACATCTTCAAAATGATCCCAGCAGGTAAATATTATTAGTATCGCCATTTTTGAGATGAGAACATTGAGCGCTGCCAAAGATGGCTACTACCTGCCCAAAGGCACAAAGAGATTCTAACTCTCTTGAGTCCCCTCAAGACCACTGAGGCATGATGCCTCTTAATGCAAATAATAAAAATAAAAGCATCAAGGAGTACAATCTGGGACCTCTTCTTTACTCTCAGTCAACGAAGAACATGAAGAGGAGAATGAGGGCTGCCAGCTCTGCTGGACTCTCCTAACGCTGGACCTGCCTGTTCTCTGTCTGGAGGCCAGGCCCGCACAGGGTTATTTGGCAGCCTCCTAAAGACTGAGCTTCAACAGCAAAGGTCTGAAGAGGAATGTCTGGAATGGACACTCAAGCCATTTTTAACAGATATGGGACTTTCAAGAACTCAGAACACACCGGTCCCTCTGTATAGAATCTCTGTCCTTGGCTCCACTCCCACCTCACTCTCACTCTGGACCGCTCTTACTCAGCCTTCACATTTTTAACTTAAAGTTCACCTCTTCCAGGAATATCATCTCTTCAAGGAGGTCTTCTCTGACACCCTGTTTTAAGTTCTCTTGTTATGGAGTATTTTAATATTGTCTGTTTGTTTAGTAGCTGCTCCCCCCACTAAAGGAACCAGGAAACTGAGGCCCAACCATGGAAGGCAACTTTTTCAAAGTCACATGGCTATAAACCAGCATTTACAAACACATCTCTAGGCTCAGTTTCAATCACTCCCAGATGATGACCTCAAGAGAAAAGGAGAAGTCAGGGTCAAGCAGCTACATCCAACCATCCATTCAACAATCATGAATAGTAGCTGAGTCTGGCACAGAATATTCAACTAATGCTTACTAAATGCACAACTGATCAATCGGTAGTAGCGTGAGCCCTGGATATTCAAGAATATCTTTGATTTCAGACTGTACCTGCTGCTTCTTCCCCACCACCAGTCTCCCCTAAATAACAGGGCAAGGAGAACAGGACTCTCAATCATTCCACTCACTGCCCAGCACACAACAGCTATTTTTGAAGTGTTACTGAGTACTTTAGAAGAGTGGCTGCCTGAGGTATATGAGTGAGATGGGGTCTGGGGCTTAGGATGCCAATAACAGACTCACACAGTATTCTGGAAATGGATAATGGTGATAGCTGTACAACAATATAAATGTACTTAATGCCAGAAAACTGTACATTTTAAAATGGTAAATTTTATGTTATGTTTATTTTACAGAAAAAAAAAACAAACAGAACACTTAAGGAGCAGGTGTTTATTGAGCAGTCACTTCTGATTGGCCTCTGCCAGGCCCGAGCCACAGCGTCATTGACAGCACTGCCCCCTGCAGGTTGTCCTGAGAGAAAAGGAGATGATGGTTGGGAAGCTCTCCCTGCAGCCTGGCACGTTCACCAGGCTCACCGGGGAAATGTGAGCACTTCCACGGTGCCTGTCATCACCATTTCTCAAGTCAGCCCTTTTGGTAGCTGCAGGGATACTCATAACCTGACTTATTAGTAACAAGTGCCCCTGCTTCTCTCCCCAGTCTCGTCTCTAGAGCAGCCTGGGTGACCCTATTAAAAACTAACCAGGCCACATCATTCCTCTGCTCGAAGCCTTGCAGAGGTTCCCCTTTCAGAGTAAAGCCGAAGTCTTTACAGCCCTTTAAGGTCCAACCTGGTCGATACCTGCTACTTCCAACGCCTTGACCTCGCGTCTTACCATTCTCCCCTGCTCAGTTCCTTCCACCACGCCGGCCTCCCCAGCTCCAGCTTTTCCCCTCCGATCTCTGGACATCTCTCCTAACTTTTCCACATGCTAGAAATAATCTTCCTCCAGATAGCCACGTGGCTCACTCCCTTGCCTCTTTCATGACTTCAATTTCAGCGCCCGATCTGTTCCGGTGGCATTTTAATCT